AGCACCAACCACAGCATCAGAGACTAACGCCTGTGCAACGGTGGGGGGAGTTTGCCACCAAGTATCTGATGGGGGCAGAAGAGCTCCGTAAGAGATGGCAGACATCTACTGCAGACAGAAATAGGCTACATCACGGCAGCGGGGCGTGCCAGCAAATCAAATCATGATGAAAGACATGAATCAGAAAAATGAGGACTATGTGGCTTGATGTTATGCAGTTTTTGTCATTATTGCTCCCCCATGGGCCTCCCTGGGCTGCAGGGGCACAGCTGGCCTCACTGTGGGCTGCAGATGAATCTCTGCTCCGGCGCCTGCAGCTCCTCCTGCCCTCCTGCTGCACCGGCCTGGGGGCTGCAGGGCTGCTCCGCTCACATATCCGCACTCCTCTCTGGCTGCCATTGTACAGGGTTTTTCCCCCTTTCTTAAACACATTATCCCAGAGGTGTTACCGCTGCCGCTGATGTGCTCAGCCTTGGCCAGCAGCGGGTCCATCTTGGAGCCCACTGACATTGGCTCCATCGGACATGGGGGAAGCTCCTGGCAGCTTCTCACAGAAGCCACCCCTGTAGCCCCCCCGCTACCAGAACCTTGCACGCAAACCCCATACCATCCTCGTAGCTTGTATAGCCCGTATGGTCGCAACAGATGGATCGGTGCTGTAGCTCAGTGACAGTTTTCTAATTATAGTTGGCTTTATGAAATTCTTAAAGAATTTCAGAGAAACACTCCTTGCTGAGGCAAGGCGAGTCAGCATTTCTTCACTGCCATCAGCGCACACCAAAACCAAGGAAATTACATTGGTAGAGTTTCAGTAAAAAAAAAAAGCTAACAAACTTATTTAAAAGATAAGCTCACAAAGAGCTGAAGGAGACAAACAGGGAAAGTCTTGAGAAAGGGAATAGGAAACAGAGGAATCAAGTGGGGCTTTGCTCTATACACATCCACACCAGCTTGAGCAGAACCCAAGGGTCCAAGGGACTCTCAACCCTGATCACCCAATATTATCTGCCAGATACTCTAGAGAAATTATTTCTTAAGCTTCATTAAATATTTCTCAATGAGATTAAATAAATTAGGAAAATTTAGGGTTAAAGTAACACTGTGTGAAAAACTTCAGATGTCTTGTAATTGAAAGACAGTGTTTAACGTTCGAGTCCACACTTCATCTCTGTAGCATAAGTTTGCTCCAATAATTTCAGATTTTACCTGGCCCTTCCCTGACTCCATCATTTGAATTGTGTTGTCACTAATTCTGCAATACAAGTTGTTGACCAAAGAGTTATAGCTTTAGCAATTTAGCAAGGCAAGTGCGGCAGGCTGACGCTGAGCTAGGTCGTAAAATGCCAAAACCACGGATGTCTCTTATAAAGTTGATTTAACAAAGGGCTGCACCATGCGTTCCTGATCTCCCTGAAACATAAACCAAGCTCTGCTAGTAATCATATCCATGATTTAAAATTTACGTGTAGTTGATTTTTAAATGCATTATGTCTTAATACTGTAAAGACAGTAAAAACTGTCACATGTTATTTAAAGCTGTATAATCATCCGCACTTAGCCTGCAAGTTGTCTACCATTGATTTGTAACTTCGAGTGGAATCAACAGACTCTAAATCTAATACCCTCAAACAAGTGCCACAGCTAAGAGAACACGTCTCAGATTGGAATAATTGCAAGACATTATGTTAACATTAAAACACACATGGTGCTTTTCGTAGAGTATCGAACGGACAAGTCTGTCCTTCACGAAAAAACCAGCATTTGTATTTTCCAATTTTTCCTAGGTCAAGGGTAGCTCACATGACTATTACAGCTCCCAAAATGATGCAGATTTCATAGCAATACTGCAGAAGTCTTGGTCCTTCCAGCTCTTGAGGGGGGGGAAATAGAAATCCCCATGTTTTGAGGTGTAGGGTTGCACTGATCTCCTGAATAACTCTTTTAATTCTCGTGCCACGTTATGAGACAGTGCTGTTACCAGCTCTTGGGAGAGAAAATGGGGTACGTCACCTGGACTTGGCCAAATTTCCTAGGAAAAGAAAGAACCCAACTCTCCCATCAAACTCTTCTCCCCCTCGTACAGACTACCTGCTGAAAGACAAAAGGTAGTAACAGGTAACAGGCAGGTGTGGCACAATTTCTTTACGAGTGATTGAGACTAGCATCCCCACCTAATTTTAGGTCTCATTCTCCATAGCAGCTGAGATCTGGGCAAGCTGCGGGTGGTGCCCTCTCAATGGGGTCCGAGGGTGGCAACGGGGTCCAGCCGAGCATCTGGATCACCAGAGAGGTCCAATGTTCATCTGGGATGTCAGTCCATGGGTCTGAGTTCAGATCAACTGAGAGCGCAAGAGTCTCAGCTTAAAAGCAGCTCCCAGAGGAGCAGTTGCAGGCCCTTGCTGAGACCACACAACCTCCTTCATGACAGCTCCTACCAGCCAGCTGACCCTGCAGGCAGGCGGATGGACTCCTAGAAGCCGGGGAGTGCGCCCGGGGCCCCGACATACACATACATATTCTTCAGTGCAACCAACCCTCTAGGACAGTCATTTTGGCAGTGACCAACTCTGCTGGACATTTTGTCCATCACAAATCCATTTAGATTAAAGTATTTATTTCTGCTTCTTTCTAGTTCATCTTGGCCTTGCACGAAAACCTGATAAAACCACATGCCAGTGAAGTTGGTAAAATAATGGAAGAAAATATGCTTCTCGATAGGAAGAATGGCTACAGTTGCTGCTTCTCAGTAATCAAAGCCCATATCTACCAAAAATCCACTCCTAAGTTTGTTCCCACGCATAGCAGATACTGTGACAGAATGCAGTTACTATCAGATTACTGGTTCTCATTTTTCCAGTCACTCCTGCCAAGTGATCCAATTCATCCAGGCCAGTGGTTTCCAAACTTTGATTGCTCATCCCTATCAGCAAAAGATTTCTGAGCATGGACTGCCAATATGTGTATATTTATAAATAAACTATATACATGTGCTACTGAACTAATCAATTATGTACATTATAAAACATACACAAAAATAGAAATTAAGAAGGAAAAGAGGGATAAATCAAACGTTATTTCAAAAAAAATATTTTACTTATTAATGGTACAAAACCTATTTTCTTCCCACAGTCCAATGGATTGTCTTGAATACGCCTCACTTTGGAGACCACTGATCCAGGCGAAGGTGGTAACGTTTCACCAGATGAGCTGACATAGCTGGGAGAAAGGACACCTTGTTCCAGGTCTTTTCCCATATTACCCACCTAACGCACTTAGGCCTGTTCTATCTCCCTGCTCATACACAAAGTAAAGGAACCACAGTTTTAATCCAACAAATCAGAGTTTGCTTCATAAACTTAAGTTGCTGGATTTGGGTTCAAACTCTGAAAACTATCAACTTTCCTCAAAACTCTCCTGAAACAAAGATCCTGAGTTCACTCCCAATGAAAAGAGAGCCTGTAAGCAAATAAACCTGAACTGGCATGGCTCAACTGCAAATTTAACCCACCCTAAGAGAGCGAACACTTTTCCTAATGACATTATTACTATTTCTACTCTTTTAACTGTTGGCAAGAAACAAAAACCTCAGGTAGAGCTCCAGGCAGACTCCTTCAACACTTCTCCCAAGAGGAAACTTTACTCCCTGCCTTAGAATTATATTGTAATTTATGCTAATGCTTTATAATTACCATCTAAATGCAAGATATGCCAATTTTGGGATGGCTATCAGGGAAATACAACGAAAGCATATTATACCGCCAAATACTCTGAAAAGGTTTTCACTTGGAGTATTTCAAAGTAGGTTTCAAGTGGAGGAAAATAATGCGCAACAAGGGAACAATCTTGCTGCAGAGGCAAGGAAGGTGAGGCAACCTACAGATGACTGAGGAGATCTTATTCAGCCCCAGCCCATCATCATCTAGCCAACATCAAAGAAACTGTACTATACAAGAAAAAAAATCTCATAACGAAAAACCTACATAAGCTTCAGGACTGTGCTGTCTCAACAGCATCAAACACTTGCAGGATTGTTTCCCTTGGTCCAAGAGTCATGGTCAGACCCTCTTTAGTTAAGAGCATACAAACCAGAAATCAGTTTCACAATGCTTCCTATCTTTATCAAAGGGTTTGTCCTCCAATGAACAAGCCTGCAAAGAATTTTAGGAAAATATAGGTTATAGCTGAAGTTAAATCAGAAACCGAGTTTTTCAAAAAACGGAGGGCTCCAACTAAATTGATCTGGCAAAGAGGAGACATGGTAAGACAAACACTACTTCTTGGTATCATCAACAAGCCAGTATGTGCAGCTTTGCAAGCACACATGACAGACTGTCATTTCAGTGAACGCTTTTTCCACGCAGGGCAGACAAACTGAGAGAGACAGCAGCGACCCTGTATCAGCACAGCAGCCAGGCTGACCTAGATCAGACTCAGCCAACCTGGCATTGCAGTTCAGTCGCAGGCTGCAGCCAGCATTCCCAGAGCCTCTCAACAGCCTAAAAGATCGACAGCGCCATTCACTCAAACTGGAACTCCTCGCTTTTATAAAATACACAACAAAACAAGAGGGGAAGAAAAAAGCCACCTACGTAAATGCGAGGTTTTGTTGCAGCAGCTAAAGAACAGCTGCTAAGGAGGACTAGGCTGGCTGCTGCTCTTCCCATCACTCCCTGTTTGACTGTGGTGTGCCATCCAACGAACCAAATGCGTTTCAAAAGTAGCTCTCATTTCACTGATCAAATACATATAAAATAAGCCACCTGCCATGTGAGAAAGTGACTAATGCTTGCATCTTTTAAACTCTTTGCTTCACCACTGAAGACACTTTTGAACACAGTAGCATTAGTGTTTGCTGAAAGAAACTTGCTTTTAAGAACAAGGTTCAAAAGTCTTACGAAAACATACAAGGAGACAATAAAGACCAAAGGTAAATCTGAGTAACTTACTGCTGCTGCTGTGGCCTCCTCTCCACCTACATAGACAGAAGAAGCAATCTCCATCACGGACAAGTTTGTGGGAGCATCTGTAGTAGATGACGATCTAGGCCGACCTGTCTGAATATCTTGGGCAGACCTCCTGTTGATCTGCGGGCTTCCTTTCGGGGCATCTGCCTTGCCCCGCCTGCTGTGCAGGCTCGTCCCTCTCTTCATTTTAGGTGGCACTCTGATCTGCTGAAGCACCCGGTTCAGAGCTGTGGGGTGGGTGGAGACACCATCAATTTCAGCACAGACGCTTTGGCTTTCCAGATCCATTTCAGGCTCCAGATCAGCCTGGGCTTGCTGAACATCATGCGGAGAAACTGATGACCTCCTGCGCTGATGCTGGAAAAGGTGCTTCAAGCCTTGGCCAATCACATTAATGTTCTCCAAAGCATTATGGGTTATTTTGGATAATTTTTGCTCTGATTCATGTTGTTTTTTGGTCTCTTGATCTTGGTATCTGCCTCCAGGATCAGGGTCATCACACAACTGTTCAGTGCCAGAGGGCTCCATTGATGACACCCAACAGGTTTACTGGACTACTCATACATAAATACGTCCCCTGTCTTTAAAAGGCTTAAGTTTGTTTTAAAAATGCCAAGATTGTCAGCCAATTAGGTGTGCAATTGCTTCAAGAGTGACTACACATGCAGCTGTGCCACGGTGATCTCATGCTTATCTAATGTTAAACAAAAGAATCGTTATTACACATCCATGCAGAAAGTAGTGGGTTAAAGAATCCAATGCGCAAAACATGCCATTAACAAAACAAAACATATCAGTTTTCCAAGCGTCCCTCCATGTGGTATTAGTCGCATCTAGGCTGTACGCAGAAGCCAAAGCTTGTGTGGGACAAGTCATTCATTGCCTAGGGGAAAAAGCCCAGCACAAAGGGTACAGGAAAGCAAGAAAGGTAAAAAAGCTGTTCAAAGGGGGGAGAAGCAAGGAGAAACCAGTTTTTATTAAGAACAAGCCCATAACAATATCAAACAGAACACGAGGTTAAACTTCTGAAGAGCATGTTAGTCTCTTTCACAGAATTAATTTTGTTCCTTGACAATGACCTGGTATTTTGCGCTTCAAACGTAATGTCTGCTCTCCTCATTTGATTTTCTTGTAGAACGCCTAACTTCACAGTATTTAATATATGCAAGAAAACAGAACACTTCCAAATCAGTTATGCATTTCCAAATAAGAAATCACTTATTACTGCCAACATCCGCTGATGGCACTGAAAACCAGATGTGAAAATCTGCCTCCGAGCAAGAGCAGGCAAGTGAAATGGTTTCAATTGGCATAGCCTTGTCCATAGTTCTCAAAGAAAACAAAAATGCCTTTTTAAAGGTAGATTAAGCAACCAATCTGAAAGGGAGCAGCACCATATACGTGTGTATCAGTCTCTAGCAGAGAGGAAGCACGCAGCTTTTCTCCAAATGATCTCAACCTTACCTATCAGCTGGGCTCAGGCAGGAGCTGGTTACAGGGCATTGCAGCTGAGCACTTATATAGCAACACGCTACTGGAGAAGTACAGCAAAGGAATGCGGAAGGAAGGAGGGAGACAGCATCTGAAAGAGTTTCACATCAGCACCATGAGATCACATGCTCGGAAGCTGATCATTGTTTTCTTGCAGGAGAAAGCTTTGATTCGGCTTCTATAAATACAGAAACCAGATCACAGAGGTCTACCTCAATCTTGGCAGAAAGCAGCCTGTGCTTTAAAAAACCCCAACATTTTATTTGAAATGCAACATATGTTTGGGATTTGAGAGCATTCATTTTTGTCTTTAAACAGCTGCAGCATCATGATGTGTTGAGCTTACAATTAGAGCACTCTCAATTTTGTGCATCTGAAATCTGACACAATGGGTTAAGCAGATATTCCAAAACGCTTTCCAAATTGGCATCCAAAAATATCAGAAGAGCTGCCTCACGCTCTTTTTTTTTTTCCAAATGTCGTTGCTATCAGCTGGAGGCAAGATGAAATTCAGTACTTACAGAAAGCAAAACACTGGAATCATACGGGATTTTATCTCAGTACTTTGAACATGTCATAAGCATTGAGTCTAAATGTATTGGCCAGTTTAATCAATAACACATTAAATGCAAAGTAATAAAACTACATCCCAGAAAAATATATTCATGCAGAAATTGGGTGGCAAAGTCAGAAAAGTGTGCAACCCACCTTGTACGTTTACATACCTAGCACTTTCCTAAATGACTCCAAGGGCCTTTGTGATTGGTATTATGCTTTGACTTTTGAGCTCACTTTCTTAGTATTTAATTTTTTTCTCATGTACCAGGTTTTCCAGCAAGTTGAATTGCAGGTCTCCACTCCATTTAAGGTTTGGGGGGAAAAAAGGCAAAACTAGATTTTCCTTTTTGTCCAACAGACCAAATGGTTCAGTGAACAAACCCCACTGGCTAAAAAGCAAGAGCCCCAAAATTACTTGGTGTGTAAAATACAGGCCTGGCAGCTGACCCGTAACTGCCTTGTTCGTTTTAGCTAATTCCCTCAGTATTCATTTTTCAGCCTCAGGGCTCACTGAGGAACAGCAGTTCACATCAAAGACGCCCAATCTACTCTGTAACCAGTATCTTTGTGTTCTCTTGCAGGCTTTCTATGCAGACTGCCGCTGGTAATACAGCTGATCTTAAAGAACACCACTCAGTCTAACTGGAGTGCCATGTGTTATCTGCTGGCCACCATTAACCTGCTTAGGTGAGCCCTGTGTCCGTTCACAAACCAACCTGGAACAGATCAGCCTGCAGTTAGCTCACAAACCAGTCGCTACTACCCCTGGGTCCTGTGACCAACCTCTGAAACCACACCGATGCGTTATCTTTAAGAGGCTCCTCTACGGAGCTTTGTGGTCATCGGTCTGTTCGTATTTTGGTATGAGTCTGTTGTGAGCCTGAAAATAGCTTTTCAAATTGCATATCTGGTATGAAAATCCTTAAAACTACTTAATTTGTCCTCATATCTGCTTCTGGGGATAAAACTACTCATAAATGTGAAGAACTGTGAATCAGAAGAATTAATTAGCACATTTATTTGCATTAGTATCCAAGTTTTGTGCTTGGTTTCCCCCCCCACCCCCACTTATAACAACCTTTATATTCTGTCCGGGGGAGGAAATGGAGTACTTTATAGCATGAAATTCAAAAACATACAGTTCTTATTCATATGAGGATACGATACATCAGAGAAAATGCACAATTTCATACATACAGCCATACTAAGCAGATGTTATAACATTATTACGCCCCAGAACATGCTAATACAGTCCTTCATTTGTGCAATTATTTCACAGCAGCACTGGGAAACAAAACAGTTCAAAGGAGAAACTGGCAAAAACAGTATTAGATAACTGAATATATAAACTAGTACTTGCCTCCATCACTTGCCCTTTAGCATGGCTGACATACAGCAGTCCCTCCACTGAACAAAACTGCAAAAGAAATCGGGTATGAGATGCAATTCCTGGGAATGGGAGGAAAGATGCACACAAAACAACAAAATGAGCATGGTTTCAACTTCTAGATTCTTTTTTTTTCCCCATTTAACTGCACGTGCCTCTGAAAACCGGGCTATTTTAAACTCTTTCAAATAACTGAAGGGATACAAATATAATTGAAGTTAAAACTGAATCTTGCAGAGTTAACCAAGAAGCTCCTGTGAAGGAACATTGTCTTTTGGGACTGGAAGCCCAGGGAGATTTCAGGGCTCCAGCCTGCAAGGCCAGACTGCTCCACACAGATTTTATTTCTCCCCCTATCTAGTCACGCAAGCGTTCTGGGCACAGGTCAAACAGCTTGCTCTGGTTTATCTGGAGTTCACCTAACAGCACGTGAGAATTGTGAGCACTCTGGAACACGAGCACCTTTGGTGCCTTTCACACGGAAGCTCCGGCCACCTCGGCTGAACTGCTACCACGTGTAACAGCAGCCCCTGCCAGGGTAAAACACAACCAGCCCCCGTCCCCCGCAGCGATAATCCCCGCACCGCAGTGGCAGACCGCAACCACGCTGAACCCCTCCACGCAGAGACGCGGAAACGGATCCAGGCAGCGAGCGCGAAGGATTCAAGGGTTTGAGCCCAGCCTAGCAAAGCACACCGCGGCCGAGGCCACCTCCTGGCCTTGCTCTCTGCACCTGAAGGAGGGACCAGGGTATATCGAGGGCATCTTGAGGATCCGCTTCACTTTTCCGCAACAAGCCCGGGGTAAGGCCAGACGCTTGCTACAAGAACACAGCAGAGGGTGAGAAGAGGACCGCTGAGCAGGTACAACGACTGCATTTCTCTAGCCATACTCAAACATTATTCCAAACCACGGCTCAATCACCCAGATTTTCCAAAGGTCGTCAGTTACTCAACTAGTCCTTGAAAACAGGGACACAAGCTTCCGAATACATTAGCACTCAGAAGAATACTGCAAGACTCTGCACAACTGGGACATTTTGACTACTTTATTGCGTGTCAGATTCCCACCTCCGAGACGACAGCAGAGATGAAGAAAATGTTAATCAGAACCACTGCAGTGGGATGCTAGAGTATGAAGAAAGTGATGACAGCAAACTTGAAGAACTTGGAAACAAATGAATGAACACATTTTTGAAAAAGATCTTGACATAGAAGAAGTTATATTCCTACAACAGCAGGAGTGGAGAACCAGGCACAACGCGTGAAGTATTGTTAACACGAGGTGCCACGAACATACTTTCATAGCCATGCTACTCATCTTTTTCCTTTTTTTTTTTAGTTTTAATGTTATTTTTTACTTATGGAATTTTAAGACCTTCTGCCCGTGAGGGCTTTGTAGATATGTCCTACAGCACCATAGGGCCCTGCAGGTCAGCAGATGCTTTTGACTCAAATTCCCAGACTTTATACTGCAGAGTCCGCTTTCCAGAGCGTCCACAGATGAGCTTTGAGATGTAAGGTCAGGAAAACTACTTGTATTTTCTCCCCTGTGAATCACAGCCCTCACTGACACACAAACCAAGCCTCCCCTTGTCTGTCAGAAGCTCCTTTTTTCCCTAAACTTTGCACAGCTACTGCACAGGGCTGATCAAAGTTCCTCCATTTCCCTGCAGTTACACCCTCTTAGCTTTCTGGGTTTTCTTGCACACGTACTGGCACTATTGCAGAGCCACTGACTTA